ATTCTTCGCTCATCACTCCCAGGAACACCCTCCCCCTGCCACAATGAGGCACCACAGCAGGACTGGCGCGGGGGGGGGGGGAATAAAAAAATCTTAGTAAATCAAATAGCGGTGTAGTAAAATACGGGAAAGCATATTACTTACTTACCCTTTGGACCCGATCCACAGATAACTCCCCCCCACAGCCCTTAGACTGAAATTCATTAACATGTTTATTAATACTCTGGACAGTAACATGGAGGATGGAATATAGTGGGAGATCCAAGGCTTGGCAAGAAAATGTGTGAAAAAGATATTTTACTTGTAATATGCTAAGTCAGCAATGTGACCTGGCTGCAAAAAAAAAAAACCAACTGCAATTTTAAAATGCATCAGTTGAAGCATGATTTCAGAATCACAGGAAATAATAACTCCAATTTATTATGTGCCACAAGAATAAATACTCTGCAGGGAGAGTAAAAAAAATCTGGAAGATGGCAGGTATAGCACTGTGATCCAAGCCCTGCCCTTTTTGCATATGCAGGAAATACTGCATGTGTATAAAAGGGGTAGAAATAGGATTATGATGCTGTATTGACCATCCTGAAAATTTTGATGTCCCCACAGATGGCACTGTTATGCTAATCAGAACCCAATGCAGTACTGTGTCTAGTTTATGGTACCATCACCATTTTAAGCTTTAAGGTTAAGGCAAGACTTAAATTAATTGAAGCAAGTTCAAAGAAGGATACAGAGGATGATCAGGGAACTGGAAACTTTTATTTTCTTTGAAGAAAGCTTTAGATAGATCTAGTTTTAAGAAGACTGCCACTGCAATTTTCTTTCTTTTTTTGGGGGGGGGGTGTTCTTTAATCATGTCAAACAACATGGTCCTTAACTATTATACCCAATGCTTAATATAAAAGGACAAAATCAAGAAACTTCATAACTTTTTAATATTAATACATTTCAACTCAATAGTAGAGTTAGTGCAATGGCTAATATATTGTTCCTTGTGATTTGACACTGAAGTTCAATTGGCCATATTTTTCCAGTTTTATGACACACAGATTTATCTCTGAGTTATCAGGTATATAAAATGAATCTGAGGATTCCAACTGATCCCCGCCAAAGCCATCAAGCCTTTTCCATTAATGTCAGAAACTCATAAATATCCAGCATGCTTTTCCCCAGCACAGAAGCTACTTTAAGGTCTTCAATCATGTGTAAATCCAGCAACATCCTATAAAGCAGATTAAATACACCTGGATATAATTACTTTCGATTCTTTGTTTTTTGAAACAGAATTATATTTATATTGTATGAAAAGAGTTTTACAACTATAAGAAAAAACAAACATGAAAGATAATTGTCTGGATTCAAATTAAATAAGAACTATGTCCAAAATGATGGTTATATATTTCTTCTTCCTTTCTATTGCTTCTTCTACAGTATTTTATCCTGCTCCCTGTCTCTCTTCTGTATAGTGATTCAAGTATTTGTTATCTAAGCCAAGTATTTATTCCTGCAGTATCCAATGTGTGCATACCAGTGTGCCCACAGACATCATTCTTGGCACTGGACAGGATTCCTGCTTCTTTTAAAATGTGTTTTTAAAACCCTTTAATTAAAAAAATGTGGGGGGGGGGAGAGGCTAAACATCAGCTAGCATAATGTATGAAAATAATGGAAATGAACAACTGGTTACACAAATGGTGCCAATGGGAATAGTCTGAATTCTATGTTAATTGGATGCATTTGCAAGGCAAGGAACTCTTGGCAAGGGATGGGCTACATCTCACAAGAACTGGGAAAAACTTCTTTGAAAGGCATGTTGAGAATCTAATCCAAGGGGCTATAAACTGAATCCTGCGGGGAAGGGAAAAGAAAGCCCAGAAAACAGTACAATACCAAATGCTAGGACTGAAAGGAGCATGCAACATGTGGAAGCACCCAATAATGAACATGGAAATACCGGAAGCAATAGGCTGAATTAAGTGATCCAAAGATTCCGTTGTCTCAAAATACGCACTCAGTAAAGAGAACAAACAGGAAGAACCAGACATCTTAATGCAGAAAAGTGAGTATGTTTTAGTGTCCAAAAGAAGGCAGGTTTGGATCCAAAGGTTTGAAATTGTGAAGGAGAAATATGTTCAGGAAGGAAGGAATTTTCTATAAAATGAGATACTGAAGGAGCAATTGCAAATAATCCTTACAAGGAAAAATGGGAGAAATCTAAAGAGGCTAGTGGGGATACATACAAAGCTTTCTGAAAAGGGACATTTACAGGAAATGGAAGGAAGGGAACTTAAGCAAACAAGAATATAAGGCAATCTCCAGAAACTGTAGGAACACTGTCACAAAGTCTAAAGCTCAGAATGAGCCGAGGCTTGCAACAGAGAAGAAAAAGGGCATGTTAGAAATGAAAGGAAAGCCAAAGAGAGTGTAAGTACATCATGAAGAGAAAGTGGTGAACCAGCAATAGGTGATGATGTGAGGAAAGAACTTTTAACTCCTGTTTTGCATATGTGACATAGTTATGATGCTAGGGAAAGAGAGAAACTATAGTTTAGGATAGGCAAGGATGGGAGAGAACTTAGCTAATTTAAACAATTCAAATTTCAAGGGCCAGATTGATCATATCCTAGGGTACTAAATGAACTTGCAGAGATAATCCTAGAACCACTCTCGATCATCTTTGAGAACTCCTGGAGGATGGGTAAGGTCCTGGGAGATTAGAGGAGAGCAAATGTCATCCCATCTTCAAAAAAGGGAAGAAGAAGACTTGGGGAAATGACAGGGGTGTCAGCTTGAGGTCTATACTGGGCAAGGTTTAATTAAGCAGCATGTTTCTGAGCTCTTGTATAGGCATGGTGCAATTAACAGGAGCCAGCATGGGTTTGTCACATGCTAGATTAACTTTATCTTCTTTTTTTATAGAGTTATTAGTGTAACAGATCAATCCTCCCACTGATTAAAAGCAAAAAGAATGAGTTAATGCCAAACAGCTAATATTTTCTGCTGCTGATTTCACCTTGTATGGATTTCCATTTTGCTGGCGCTGCAACAGCTTGAAATTCTAGGAACTTATATTTGGTATGTTCAAAACTTCAGGGAATACCTGAGTCAGAATATCTCATAAAGTCACAATCAAACTGGTATGAAAGGCTATAGCACATTGTCTCTGAATTCTGAGAGAATAGACCTTTCATCCTGAATGGCCAAATCCAATTGATGCATGAGATGATGGATGTCACTACTTATTATGGTCTTTGATTCTCCCTCCCACTTATGTACAATGAGGGGTCTAGAATTCTGGAGATACTACATCACATTCGAAAGTCAAATCTCTCTCTCTCTCTTAAATGATAAGTACTATTTTAATTGTGCACATAAATTATCTGGTTACGTTTGCATGATTGACCTAGTAATGCACTAGTAAACAAATCTGAAATTGCTACAGTTGTATCAGGAAAAACCAACTTGGCTGGTATTCTAGATTTCTATGTAAAGGCTGCAGCTATGATTATATTTATCAACTGGCAGCTGATGATTTAAAAAAAAAATCTGTAGTGGCCAGTTGAGGACAGAGTCCCCAAGGTCAGCATAGGTACAGGCTTAGCTTTCCTTGGCCAAGAGCAGGGTCTGTTTATCATGGTGACTGGCAAACTGGACTCTGTCATGAAAGCACAGAAGAAAACTGTTGCTTGGCTTCAGACCCAGGGTTCAGCTACTGTCACAATCCCCAAAGAACACCATTGCTTTGTGATTAGCAAGAATGGTGAGAAACTGCAGGAGCTCAAGCTAAAGACAGCCACCAAGATCAACATCCCACGGCCTGACGACCTCAGCAGCCAGATCAAGATCATTGGCACCAAAGACGGCATTGAGAGAGAAGCACTCTGCTTAGCATTTTTCAAGATCAGCAAGGTGCCGTGTAGATGGGTTAAATACATGCTAATCAATACTTAATAATAAGGAGAGGAAGACAAAATGTGAAACACAGCTTTTCACCAGCACACCAGCCTATCTAGACCATGTTACTTCAGATTCTTGTGAGAGCTGAAAATCCCCTTCATATAGGATGTACCAAAAGTCAAGCCCAACAGACAATTTATTATATAAATTATATTAAATATTCAAATTGCTTGCTATTTTCTTATAAGCACTTCCTTACTCACTTGATGTATGAACATTCCTAAATACAGTAACATACTGTATTCTCTGAAAAAAAAATTATTAAAACATATTTTGATTGGCCCATGGGGTTTGACTTTTGGTACACTGAATATGTGAACAAGAAGGATTTAACTTAGTTTTTAGTCTGATACACTGAAGCAGTTTTCTGTGTATAAAAGAATTTTCTGGGAAATGGTATGGAGGAGAATTTAATCACAGAAGCCCCATACTTAAAGCAAGAAAACCCAGAAGAAAAAATTCTACCTCAGTGAAAACTAGACTTAATCTAGTCTGGTGATGAACAAAGTTTTCCCAAGAGGGCCGAAGTGACTTTTAACTGAAAATACAGAAACAATTCTGGGGTATGTCTCATTATTCTCATCAACTAGCATTAAACACAATGAATTTAATACAATTCCCTGAAAATATTCTGAAATTGTTTAGTCAGTTCTAGTTATAATACAAGCTAACCTACACATTTACAAACAAATCAATATACCAAGGGAAACAGGTGACTGCACTGACCCCTTTACAGAGAGTTTTGTGGGAGACAACCCTATGTATAAATGACCAGCTGTTACACATTTCTGCATTAGAACCCCAACAATATAAGCTACTCTAAATCCATTAATTTGTCAGAGCAGTGATGACACAAATGATAATGATTCAACTTGTAGCTTCCATAATTTTGGGGGTTTGTTTAAAACCATTCTCTCTGCTGGAGCAACCTTTGATTCCAAAAGTCTTAAAGAAAAGATATTTACAGCATAGGTCCCAAGACTGTTATGGTAACTGTGATTACTGATAGAGAGAGGTTGGGGAAAGAAAGAAAGGTATCTCACCGGCATTCAATAAACCACTGGCGGATCTGATCTTGGAGGCTTTCTTTGATGTCGGGCCCTTCAATTTCTTTGACTCGCTCTTTGATGCTTACTAAAGCTTTCTGAAAGTCTGATTCATGTTTCTCCTGAATTTCACACCTTAGAATATCCACTTTCTGGGCACGTAACAATGAAGCACTAGGTCTCTGGAAATGAGGAGGTGGTGTCTGAAAAACAGATGTGGCATATGTTGTATTTCCATTAACACTTTTATTCTAGTATTAACATCAGAGGTAACTAATTCCACTTTGTTGATAGCTATATCCAGCCTGAAGTGATCTTCCCCAGCTGGTTTTAATGTGACCATTTTTGTGCCTTGATCTGGATGATATATGACAAATACTTAGAAGGATTGCTGTTTTTATTTCTCCCACTCCACTTCTTATTTCATCTTCAGTATCTCAATTAGGAATGATTTCATATTCTACATTAGTTTCTCACATGGGAACTTTTTTATTATATTAAGATCTTATTCTGTAAACCATACTGATAACTGATATATAGCAGGGAACAGAATGCAAACTGAAGATAGTTAATATATAGCAGAATTAATTTATTATAATTAGATTATTATAAATTATTTTGATTTATACTGTATGTCTGCCCTTCTGCTCATATTGCATTCATAGTTCAATAGTAGAAGATATGTTTTGCACACTAAGAGTCACACGTTCAGTAAGTTATCGACTTCAAGGCTAGGAAATACCTTTGTGTTAGACTTTAATATATGGTTCAGTCGAGGCAGACAGCCTCAAATACTTGATTCCATGTAATACAGCTTCATATGCTCATCAGAAGTGAACAAAGTAACTTACACTTTACATCATCTTCTTTCTCTTCTCCCTTATTAAATCATTAAATAGATGATTCTCATATACAGAAAAAAGGATTCAACCACTGACACATTTTATGCATTTTATCTATATCCTTTCATCATGCTGATATTTTATAACTGGTCCCACCAGGATAGTTGGAACTACAACTAGATCTTCCAGTGCTGACTTACAAAACAGCCAGAGTATTATTTTTCCTTTTCTGATAATTTCAGTGTTACTGTGGCAAATCTGGGCTTATTTCATTTTAAGTACCTTAATGTCTAATTTTGTTTGGGGGACACACATAGTTTAAAATCTCTCTGCCACCACCAACACAAAATGGTAAACCTAGATTTCTTATATTGAAGTTATCTAAGAGATGAGATTATATTTAATAATCTGACCATCCAGCAAGATCTGGAAGAGACCCTGCTGAAGGTCCTATTTCCAAAGGAGTTCCATCTACAGGAATTCTGTAGCAGGGTCTTCTCAATGGTAGTACCCCTCTTACAGGACAGCTTGCCCTACCTCTTCCCTAGTACGTTTCCATAAAGAAGTAAAGATGTGGCTCTGGGAGACCTTTGAAAGATGTTAGTGTTGGTAAGTATTCAAGTTAATCAGTGCTATTATAATGCATAACACAGAGTATTGTCATTTTTTTTTTTTTACTCTATGTGCTGTTCTGAGCCACTGGAGTAGAATGACTTGGAAATATTACAGGTAGTCCTTGAGCTACAATGGCAATTGAGACTGGGATTGCCGTTGCTGAGCAATGCAGGCGTAAAGCGCAATGTCAATTGACTGCATCGCTTAGCGATGGCAATCCCTGCAGTCCTGGTTGCCGTCGTAACTCTAGGACACACAGGTTGTTAAGTGGGAAGAGGTGGGATTCCAAAGTAAGGAATGCAGAGGGGTGAGGGGGTGCCATGGGCAGGTGCTAGGAAGTGTTGGCAGGTCAGTGGGGCCCGTGGGAGAGCTGGCAGGGGCCACGGGAGGACCAGCGGAGGCTGTGTGAGGGTACTGAAGGCAGGAATGTGCTATGGAGTGTGGGCGGACAAGGGTACTATGGAGTAGTGGGCTCTTCAGGAGAAAAAGTGGTGGGAGCAGCTTGTGACCTTCCCTGGTGGTGGCCGGAAGTTTGAGGACCGGTCATAAGTACATTTTTTCAGCACCGCCATAATGGTCGCTGAACGAATGGACGTATGCTGAGGACTACCTGCACTAAGTAAGCCTGCAAGCAAATAAATGAATAAATGCATCTTGCAATGCTTGTAAGTGTGCTTTTTGTTTCGTTATGTTATCTTGCTTTCATTAAATGTAATTCCCTCACTGATAGGAAAAAACATATTTAATGTTATCTATGGTTAGAAGGAAACATCTCTTCCCCCCACCTTTGTGCCACCATATAATAAAATAATACAAGGGATTTAGGACTAGAGATGGCTGCCAGTCTGGAACCTTAGGGCATTATTACTGCAATTAGAATCTATCTTGAACTTAAAGTTGTTCACTGTTTGCAAAAATAAATATTTAAAATTTTCTTATTTTAAAAACTGGTATTTCCAGCATTGAAAGTATTAGTCAACTGTACTTTATAACAGACTTAATTTCTACTCTACCATAGTATGTCCACCTTCTATTTCCTTTATTTCATTACTGTCGTTTAGAGACTGACATCATTTGGAACATTATTGGGGAGGGGAAGTAGGGAGGAATCCTAACCTGTTGTCTATTCCTAATATGGCAACATCTGAACAGAGCTTCTTTTAATAAAGAAACATGAGCGCGCGCACACACACACACACACACAAACATTGAGGGAACTAGAATGGTCCTGGGTTGCACCATTATGGTTCCATTGTTTTCTGTCTGTTCTATGGTTTCTAAGTTTTATTTTTGCTGTAAGCAAGTTAGGGACATTAACGTGAGAGGCCTAAAATGTCATAAATAAATATTTTGAGAACCCAATCCACTCAAAATTTGTAGGACATTCCAGTTTTTTTTGATGAAATGAAAATGCAGTATATTTATTTATTTTTATTTATTTATTTAGCAGACTTGTCCCCACCCATCTCCCCCCAATGGGGGACTCTGGGCAGTTTACAACAATTAAAACAAATAAATACATAATTACAATTTATAAAAAGAGAAAAACACATTTACCCAAAATAGGAGAAAAAATCCAAGAGGCCGATGGAAGCAACACCAGGCCTCTAGGGGGCTAGCCAACCCCATTTCTGATGACCTCCCTCCCCGCCCAGGCCAGATGGCAGAGCCAAGTCTTCAAATCCCTCAGAAAGGCCATGAGTGAGGGGGCCTATCTCACCTCCGGGGGCAAGATATTCCAAAGGGCGGAGGCTACAGCAGAGAAGGCCCGCCTTCTGGACCCTACTAGTCGGAGTTCTTTTGCTGAGGGGGTCCGGAGCATGCCCTCTCTGTGAGATACTGTGAGCTGAAGCTTCTGGATACTCTTCAAGGGTAGCTCCATGTAGAGTGCATTGCAGTAGTCTATCTGGGAGATAAC